GTTATATGAATATTCATTCCACAAAAAAATACAGTAATTAATGGTCTTTATATGCTTAAAGGTGTTGTTACAATTGAATGCTTCAATAAAGAGATCTTCTACAAGTTTTCCTATCTAAAAAACCAGACGCAGCTCTCTGTCACAACCAATATCGGTTACGGCTCCAACAGGCGAGCTGGCTAAAATACCTTCAACATCATAAGAAACAGAAAATGAAATACATAATGTGTCAGGTGACAAATGAAAAAGTACCTGAAACTCGCCATGTAAAGAGTGAAAAAGCAAACAGCACACTAGGCCAACCATCCGTCAAAAATTACTTACATATTCTTTTTTGTAGTTTAAAAAAATCATAAATACTTTCAATTGGGCTGGCCAGGAGGAGCCTTTTCACTCCCCTTTTGAACTGTTTACTTGGAAGGTTCCAGGCTGTACAAGAGAACATATTGAATAGATTAAGGCTTACAATGTCATATTACAGTTTCTTTGCAATTTCTCAAGCCTAACAAAGGGTACATTTACATCCTGTTTACGTCTCGTATTGTAGGGCCTACAAGTGGATTTCGCTCCTGAGCTCGAGAGCGCCCACCTTCTGCTTAGTTTTGATGAGGGTCTGAAAGATATAAAGATTATGAACTGTCTTGAGAGATTCAGCCTAGAGCTGGGTTTTCCTAGGCGCGGAAGCGGAGAGCGGAGAGAGGAACGCGGAGAGCGGACTTCACTTGTCTTAGGTAATTTAATGTTACTATGTTTTCCTAGAAGCGGAGCGGAACACCATGTTAATTTCTTTTCCGCTCTCCGCTTCCGTGCCTAGGAAAACCCAGCTTTAAAGATAGGCTCACAGTGATCCAGGCGCTTAGCCCCTGCGACTATTCTTATAGCCTTTTTTTTGGAGAAGTAGGACCCCTCGACTCCAGGTGTGGCACCCCAAAGTCTCAGTCCGGATATGTGATGATACTCTGGGAAAAGGCCACATACGCAGTCCTTAACCACTCTTTTTGGTACAAATCACCTTAACTTACGAAGTAAGTGCACAAGCACAACCCTTGCCAGTCGGCTACAAACATAGTCAACATGACTGTTCCAATCCAGCTATCCAAATCCAGCTCAGCTTACAGTCTAGGTAACCGCCTAAATGCTTTACACTTGTCACCTCTCATGCTCAATATTTCGGAGACTGAAAACAATGGATTGGGGTTTATCTTGATTTAAAAAGAGGTAATTTGCCCTTAATCGTCGTAGTCAGTGTGGAATTTGTATGATAGAAATAACCATCGAGCACTTACTGACTTACCGCGCGGTTTCAAAATCCCTTTGAGATTGCATACAATAGTGAAATAAAAACATCAAAAACATTAACATCCATAAACTATGTTAAAAAGGGATAGCATTTTATTTTCAATTAAATTCATAACTCTGAATCTATACGTATTAATAAAAGTATGATTTTAGATTACCTTTGTAACTTATTTGATTTTTTTGTTATTGCCTGAATTGTTTTTGTACTGTATTTATCTCTGAATTGTGTATTTGCATCATGTAATCCACTTTTTGACGTCGCCTTATGCATTCATGTGTTTACTGGAATAAAATATTGATTCTTGATTCTTGTTAATACTACATTTTTTGAACATGGCTTGCCTGTATAAACATGAAGAGTACTTTGGTTTAGAGTTTTAGATATTTTAGTTGCCAGAGCCATCTTGATTGTTTTGTTTTTATTTTGACGATTGTCATGAACTTTGTACATAGTTGTAACGGCAATAAATCATTTCATTTCATTTCATTTCAATATGTATAGTGCTAAAATTTACTGCCCTTTTACTGCACGAAGAATTTTGTTTACTCGCAACATTATAAGATCGATGCGGCTAGCTTCCACGACAGCGCTAGTGATGCAATGGCTGTCAAATTTGTTTTGACAGAAGTGTTTTCGGTTATTTTGATTGTTGTATTTACATAAATATTTCTAGTATATTTCTCATTTACATTCGAGTTTGTGTGTGTTGTTAGTGTGATAACTATCTTTGCTACCAATTTCTTACTTTACTTTCACCATGTAGGGTTAAAATGATAATTTTCCTGCTAGGTTATGTGTGATTTATGCGAATAGGATTAGTGGCTGATACCGGGTTGTAAAATAGGCCTTGTTGCAAATTGTAGTGCAATAAAAATGGATTTGACCGCTAATTCTCAACTGGATATGGTAATAACCCGCTGTAGGATATATTCTAAGAGTACATTCCAAAATAATTTAATTTCTTTGAGGTTAGGCCCCAGTTAAACAGCAAAATTCAAAAACTTAAACCTTTTAACAGATCTGGCTCAGATAAAACTTACTCTATGCAGTTAGCAATTTATTTAAAAAAATATGTTGACATGTAAAATATTTACTATGTAAGGCTGAACTATAAAAAGTTTAGATTTTTTGTTAGGCTAAGTTTTAAGTTTGGTTGTCAATCGCATCGATAGGCTACTTATTTGTTAGACAACACGAGCCGGATATCAAAGTTCTAGTCTTTTTTTTATTCGTCCATAAGAGCATGATAGGTTATAGGCTACATTTTTTAGGCCTAGGCTACTTATGGATTGATACAGAAAAATAGAACTCGTCAGATAAGTTAAATTATGAATGCTAATCTCTCTTAAGTAGGCCTAACCTTTTTGTCTCTTGGAATAGGCTGCACTTTAGTATCTGTCCTACATTCATTCAAATTAAAAATATCGATGTATAGATTATTCGATGTATCGATTATTAACCAAACTTGATACATCAAATGAAATAGGCCTAATCGATATATTGATCGACATTCGAATGAATGTAGGACAGATACTAAAGTGCAGCCTTGAAAAAAATTAGGTAGGCCTAGCTAACTTAAATTCCTCTAGATGACCCTTGCAAAAATTTATTGAGGATCCCGTATTTCCTTCCTACCATGGTCAAATATTGACTCCCAGTACTCTAACCACTAATCTTATGGTGTTTGGGGAACGATTTTGTGCACTTCCGATACTTCTGTCTCTGTCCTTTGATCTTAAACTTGTAAAGCTTGGAACAATGTTGCAGATCATTATTTATAATTATCATTATTTGGCTGCTGATGAAGCTAGTCTTCCTAAGGCAACTGTACCCAAATAGCAGATGGTCTTAAGTTTTATTTTGTGAAGTGTAAATCAAGTTTTTCTTTATAACGTTCAGTACCCAGTAATTTACATTGTTGTTATTTGATACATTACCTATTCACGTACCGGTAAGCTTAATAAGTTATCGATTGCCAACTCACATAGGCTAACTGAAACATGTTAGGATTAATTAGATTTTGTGATTTTAATATTTTGTATAACCTAATTGGTTGGATAGATCTTATGCAAGTCACAAGCCTATCACATTCTGTTGAATAAGCTAGATTAAAACAGAGCTAGACAAACTACAATACCTTGACGACTAAATCCATGCTTCTCCATACACGGATCTGTTGGTACTAAACTTATTTGTCGACTAAGTTAACTACTTGGTAGGCTATCCACCATTAACTCTCAGTGCAGGATTTACCACTAGGTAGCCTAAATCCACTAGTAAATACCACTAGCCTAAAGCCGCAAGCAAGATCGGGCCACAATATACAAAAACAATTTCTTGTAACATTAACGTAATAATTTCGCCAAGATCGTGGGTGAAGGTAATGATGTCCTTGTCATCGCAGGGAATATTCATGATTTGACCGTGATTGCAAGGAAGTTCCGCTCAAGAGGCGGTATTGCTGAGGTTATTCTAATAAATTAATTGCTGTAGCCTGTTATTTGGGTTCACATCATTTGATTTATTTACATTGAAATACTTAGCCTTTTATGGTGTTATAATAAATACAGTTGATCATGCAATAGTAAGCATATTTTGACTTTGAATTCAAGTAAATGGCTTCTGAAATGAGGCTTACTTACACTAAACAGATACATGCCACCTTCCAGTTATCCTCTTGTGTAGGCTTTGATTATGCCTCTACATCTTCTCTTATCTATCCACATTTTCTTATCCTCCACTATCAGGTAGCCTATCGCCATTCTACTTCACATCCCTCTTTACCTTACACTCTCTTTATCTTTCTACACATTACTCTTTAATTGTCTTCCCTCTTGGTCTCCTTCCGTTGCATCGTTCCAACTCATAATCCTTTCCTCTAGCATTCTTTTCATATTTCCAATCCATATCATTCATTGCTTTTTGTACTTTCCCTCTTTTTACTTTTTTGTTTTCTGTGTGATTGCTGTCTTGAACTTTAAGCTTACAGTACGTCCAGAGTGCACGTCGATTCAGATTTTCGGTGCGTGGTTAATCTCAGTCAGATATTTTTTTGGTGGTCACAGTGGAAGCAGGAAATACGCCGCCAGTAGCCTATACTGACTCGGTTAACAAAGTAGCAAGTCATTCGTTGTTATGGAATTGACGGATGGGGAATTAACATGTAAAATTATAACGTCTAAAACTGTTGTAAAGTTACAGCCAGTGAAAAATTGTGTTCATGATATTATATAGGTACCTCTTTTCCGATAGCTAGAAATGATAAAGCTTCTTTCTATATTGCGTTGAATGGAGCCCGAAACTACCGAAACTTAATAGCCTATTTAAATTGGTCATTGTATTGTAAGAAACGTGTGTAACCTACAAACAAAACAATTTTGCTGAAGAGCGTTTAGTAGTAACCCTAAAACTAAGGATGAAAAATTAAATATTTTACTATAAAAACAAAATTTATTTAATTAAATAGTATGCGTACCAGCAAAATCTGAATCGGAATCTGAAACCAACATGAATAAGAATTCCGGTATGCAGATGCTTACGCGTGGGCTCAGAAACCGGCGGCCACTACGACCACATCCATTTGAATGCAAGTTCCATTCCTGCTGCCGAAAATCTGAATCAGCGTGCACTCTGGACGTACCGTTACACTTAGTGAAACTTTCCACTTACGTAATTAGTTATTGAACGTACAATGTTTCAGCTCGTGGGCGGGGAGTTTGACATGGAGTTAAACTTCGTCATCCAGGACGCCCAGAACATCAAACATATGTTGGAGCTACTAGACCACTGCCCACCAAACTTACAGGTTAGAATACTGTAGCTTAAAACATGTTGGAGTAACCTAAGTTACCTAGCCTACTTGAAATACTTGGTAAATCGACCCATTTAGCTAGAGCATCTAGGCCAGGCTGGACGGAATTTGTTTTGTCATCGTCGTCACGAACAAATTTTAGGTTGGATTGGATCTGTCCTTGTGACCTGATAAGCTAAGTTACGTTATTATAAATCCAACAACGTTCAGGAAAGAATCCCAATTTTCTTGCTCTCCTTCAAAAAAATATTTTTAACCTAGTAGGCTATGCTTAAAAATCCATACGATCACATATTACCTGCTCAAATTTATCTCAGTATATTAATAGCTCTCAGAATTTTAAAAGCACGTAGTAGGTCTATGTCTAGGGCTGGTTGCCTGGCTCTAGTGTATTTTAAGTTACGTGAGGCAAGTAGCCTGTCTGCCAACTGACTTCGTGTAAACGAAAACTTAAACCTCTGATCGATAAAATGGCCAATATCTAAATGTCTTAAATATTCCTTAGTGTAATAATCCATTATTGCATTTTCATAAAACTAAAATGTAAAGCATTTATATTCAAATCAGTTTCTACAGCCTTTCAAGGTAGTGAACCTAACAATTTTTTATCCTGCTTAAAATAATAATTCTATTGATGTTTCATAGCCTACGGTAGTAGCCTGGAATGTCAGTGATAACATCTGATGAGCTACAAGTACTGATGTGGTTAGCTCCACCTATGTCTAGCTACCGCAGAAGAAGATCAGGTTGATCTGAAATTTCCTTCGGAATAGTTTTTGCAATTAGTTTTTGTACTCGTGAACTTTTTCTGTAATGTGTTAAAATGTCTTCGGGATAACTCTAAGGACATTTACAATCTTGTAATGCATTGTAGCAAGTCATTATTAAATACAATTCTTTGTAAAACAAAATATTATAAGATCAACAGGATAATTTATGTATTTTCACAACAAGACATGACAGAAACACAAAATTTACGAAATGTTAGTGAGGTTACTCCTCATTGCACTCTGCAGGCTGTGATGGGTTATCAACCTCAAGCCGCGCAGCTTCTCCAGCATTTTGGGCCTCTGCATGTCTGCGGCCACTACGTCTACGAGTGCTTCTGCGACTGCGACTGCTCCTGCGACGTCGCCGGGCTTCAATGAGATTGTCAGAGTCACCGTGCCTCCTGGCTTGTCTACGAGACCGACGGTTTGCTGACCTACGCCTTCTTCGAGCCTCTAGCACGTCTGTGATATCGTGGTGACGTCCTCTGCGAGATCGTCTGCGGTGTCTGCTAGATCTTTTCCTGCGTCGGGCCTCTAATATTTCACTGTCTGCCTCGTGATGTCGACCTGCATGACGGCGGCGTCTTCTGGTAGATCGTCTGCTAGATCGTTTCCTGCGTCGGGCCTCTAATACTTCACTGTCTGCCTCGTGATGTTGACCTGCATGACGGCGGCGTCTTCTGGTGGATCGTTTGCGACGTCTGGCAAGGACTACGCTGTCATCATTGTGTCGTCTACCACCACGCCGTGTCCTGGTGGATCGTTTACGACGTCGGGCTACAACTACGCTGTTACTGTATCGTCTCATGCCACCATACCGCCTTCTAATTTGCCTCTTTCGTCTGCGTGCCTCCAACATTTCGGAGTCAGCCACTGCTGGAAACAACCGGTTCTCACTGATGGTCAAAAACCCTTCCTTGATGGCCAGTTTCAATGCACTCTTGTACCCAGAGAGGCTGTCCGGGCCGTATTGTTGCCGTAGGAAGTCTGCAACTTCTGACACCCTCACTCCAGACTGGCCGTAGTTGTCTAGTTGTACCACAGCCGATACAACTTGTTCTATTTCTCCTTTCATTTTACTTAATTTTTATTGCAGTAAATTTGTATGTGACTGATCTCTAACAAATTTGGAATTCAAATGATTTTCAGGTAACTGTTGCTAAGGGACAATATTTTTAATTGTAGCTTGTTTGAATCTAAAGTAGTTGATAGGAAACCCTGGTAACAACCTTTCATTACTAAACCCACATTTGACATACAACCATTTTTCCAAAGATTATCTTTCTCAATAAGCCTGCTGCTTGGGTCTTGTCAAAGATTTTATTTCCTTTTAGTTTTTATTTTATGAATTAAATATATACCTTAAAACATTTCTGATGACAATAACCTGCAGTGTTTACTTTAGCGTATCAAGTCTTTCTCACCATTCTGATTTAGGATTAACTGGCAATGTCAAAATATAATCCTGTGTAGTAAAATCCTCATATTGAACACAAGTCAATAACTTACAGTCCACTTTGTACAAATACGAAACTGGATAACAATTTAACAAACTGTATAGCCTAATAACATATTATTATTTGGCACATTAGATCACAATTTAGCAAGCTGAGAGGCCTATGTAACTCATTTTGCGAAAAGCAGATATACATATTATTTTGGAAATAATTTCCCCACAAAATGGAATCTTAAAAAATTGAATGGATAAAGTAAATTATGCAGTTTATTTAAGTGAATAAGAATGATGCGTCAATTTATATATGTCAGAGGTTCGTGAATTGTTATGTTGTCCAGCTAGAGTGAACTTTGGTCCACAATCAGCTTAACAAAGGGCCCATTGAGTACAACGTATCACACAATTCACCACACCCTTGTCATTCTAGAGATCGGTAGACCATTGTCACATTTGTTACTTCAGTATTCTGCGCTTGGTGTGATTAATAGGTACTTGCCTATTAATATATAGATTCTAAATGTTCAAAACTGGTTGACATAAAGATTGATAATTTAGAAACCTGTAAATAAAGACGACAGTAGGCTTACCACATTGTTAATTTAGTTTTGTAGACATTTTGAATGTATCCTTGAGTAGATATTACAAGAAATCAATGTTCACTTTGTCAACGTTAAGTTTAAGTTTCTCATTTTATTTTACTTTTTTAACATTGTAATTCACGTTGGAGGTGTCGTTTGAAGCTATGTTATAGAACAAGAACATGTATCTGAATCAGTTTTCTAGGGATCAGCTTAGAAAAACTTGTACTTTTTGCTGTTTTGTGCCTAAATACATATAATGTTGTTTGATAAAAAATATAATAAGATATAAGCAATTCAAACACAACCTAAAATTGCTTCTAAAGCATTACTTAGTTTTGAAATCCTTTGTAATTCATAGTTAAGTAGACGAGTAGTCTAGAATGAAAGTTCAACTTGCGTAACTGGATATTTCAGTGACTGCGAGATATGTTATCAAGTACTTGCACTTACTGATAACAACACTGAACATATGACACGTCTCATTAAGAGAAACTAACTGTTCATTTAGTACTAACTCTAGTCTCGCCAGTAACCTATAGTTTCACAATTATTGTTTATTTGTAAAAAAACTTTGTAAATTATTAATTGAAACATAATATGATGGGCTGGTCTAGAGGTAGAGCGGGGACTTTGGTCAAAGAGGTCCTAGGTTCAAATCCTACCTATTACCAATGGATTTTTTATTTTACCTTAGTGATAATTTCCCGACCCCTTCTAGGCCTAGACTGAAGTAATATGTAAAACAATTCTGTACAGGAATCTAAAAAAATATGATGAAAAAAATTTGTGTAGTTATTGGATTATCCATAATTGATGTTGTTCTAACAAAACTCAATTTGCCAAATAGTAATAGTAATTGTATAGGTTGAAATTACTAAATTCATACAAATCTAAATATTAGTCAAGACAAGCTTTGAAGGTGTATTGACTCGTGGTGAAGTTCAAAGGTGTTGTCACATGTTCACACATGTTCAACACACATGTGCACACATGTTCTGGTCATTATCTGAAGGACCCTCATACATACGCACACTCTGAATGTTAATTGAAGTCTCCCAAAGTGAGAGGGAGAGTGGAGAGGGGAGAAGAAAACTCCCCCCCTCTCCTACAAAGTTATACAACATGTATTTAGCAAGCACTAACAAGGCTGAGAAACTTGGGAGTGTTACCCGGGAGCACTAACCAGTATCAGCTGTTTAGTCCTAGTGTTTGTAGACACAGTGTTAGTGTTAGTGTTGTGTTAGTGTTTGGGGTGTAGGTAGTGGTTGTAGTGTTTGTAGACATCATTATTATTTATTAATTTTTCAATGTAATAAAATACTTTGAATTAATTGAATACTAAACAAAAAAATATACATTGATGAGCCATCTGAATAAATTTTAAGCTTTGAATCTGCTCAAATAATAGCTGATTAATTATAGATTAACCTATTTAAAACCTATTGGCACCGAAATTATAACATTTGTAATTTTAAATAATCAATATAAGGGTGTGACGATTAAATGCTATTAATACCTCTAGTAGTTGTAAAATATTATGTATCTACTCAGTATTAACCTTTGTGTTGGTTTAGTATGATGATTAGGTACTCATTCTTTTAGTCCATGACTTTGTCCAAATCACTGTGTTTTTAAAACATTGTTTAAAACATTTTGTTGTAAAACCCTGACAAATAATAGTTGTTTTTAATTCAGAGATAATCTGTGTGTAAATTATGTTTATGTTTAAGGGATCAAATAGCAATAACGTGAAGAAAAGAGCTCTCGTCTGTAAAACTGCAATGCTCATCTGTAATCCTGGTTTTACAATGAGAGTAATCCACGCCTAACTGGCATCCAACAATTTCTTCATAATCTGCCACTTAGGCTGTTCAATTGGTTTTGTCTTCAGCTTGCAGTATACTGAGATCCTCATTCACAAAATCAACTCCAAGTTGTCCAATTCCTCTTTAACCACAGTCTGCAGTGTACCAAGAAGATTACCAAAATCCTAATCCACAGAACCCACCTGAAGATAATCAATTCTTCCTTCACCTCAGTCTGCAGTTTACCAAGAAGATTACTAAGGTCCTTATCCACTAAACGCACCCCTCTGGTGGGATAGTTATGTGTGATTGGCGTCACTATCAAATCTTGATTGGAGTAGGTATATACAAGTAAAGTTTTGATAAAAAGTTGACGCACCGA